TTTTTTGCCGCTGTTGACATTGTTTTGGCCGTCTTTCCATAGCGACTTAATTCGACCAATCAGAGTCGAGTATTTTTGTTGAGTGTACTATAAACTGAAAAATAACTTTAAAACTGTTTTTTTCTGTCATTTCCAAATACATATGTATTAATTTTATAGAGCCAGTTTCTAGTACCAAACCAATGTTCATTTTTTTTTTTTTTCTTTTTTTTCTGTAGCTGAATTCTCTGAAATACACAGTAGACAGGACAGCTAAAGACTTAGATGCAACGAGACAAAAAGCTGTTTCACTGAAAAACGAAGCTCTTACCAGACTAGAGAGGTACGTACTATAATAAAGTCTTATTTGGTTTTCATATTCACCCTGTTCACATGACAGTGTTTGCGTTGAACAAAGTTTTGAAAGTTAACCCTCTCCGCGCCTTGTTTCGAGCCGTGTTCCGGGTATTTGATTGGATGACGAGCAAATTCTCGTCCAATGTGATTGGTTTGGCGTATTCCTTGCCGTGTCATGACTGCGCTTGTGCCGTGAGCCTTTCACAGTCATACGAAAACTGCTCTAAGCGAATAAAGTTAACGTCATGTTCCCTCGCTTTAATTCTACTTTAGTATGGAGGAGCAACACCTCGCTTTTACTGACAACTATTTTTTATCAGGTTGGAGAAAGCTCAAAAAGGACGCTATGACCTTATCGAACAGCTCAAAATAGCTTCAAATGAGACATTATCAGCAGAAGAGAGAGCACAGATGATGGATGTTCTGCTAAAAGATGAAGAAGCCAAGATCCACGCCATAGAACAATTACTAACTAGGCTTCGTGAAACACAGTTCAAGAAGACAGAAGAACTACACAGGTGTAAAGTCCTTGAGAAAAATACTACTGCCGAAATACAGGTATAACACTATAGACTGAAATGATCGCACTAGCGTCGTTAAGTATCGTAATCGTAGTCGTAAACGTTATCTTAAAAAGGTTACGCTCTAGTGTAAAACAATACGACGCAAGCAGAATCGTAAGCCTCGCTTCCTTGTTTGATTGTCGAATCAGAATCGAGTAATTCTGTCTAGTTTAATATCAGCACACACCAGCCCATGCGTGGAACATTATATTACTTTTGTAACATTGCCAATATCGTCTCAGATTTATGCACTTATTTCAGAAAATGTTAGTGGGTCTGAGATATAAAATAGGCGCTCTGAAACAAATGTGTATGATTTCGTTTCCTGCCTAAAATGCTAAAAATCACATTCCTAACTCAAAGTTATGCTTCATATTCCAATCTAAAAGAAAAGTAAATTGTTCGACTGTGAGTATTTCACATTTTGCAGCGTGTTACGCATTCTCGGGTGGTGAATATTTTCCATTTTGTAGCGTGTTACGCAGTATCAGGTGGTCTCAGATTTGAGATTCGTTACGACAACGTTTATTAAAACATTTGTATGTTAACGCATGGACTAGGGCGTATTTCGCAAGAGTRTAAAACAATACACCAATTGCCGTACCAATTACCATACCGTATATCTACGTAGCCATAACTACCGGTTATGATTTGATAATGCATACGAAAATAATCATGGAAGCCATTCCAGTGTTAGCCTCATCCGCAAACATCTCCTTGGCTCTTTTTGCACATTGGGCTTCCTGTGGCGAGGACAAAAAAAGACGAAGGGCGTCCCCACTCCTTCTCCTCTCTCGTTCCTAGTTCTTCTCTGCCATAAGATTAAAACAGGGTTCCCAACAGAGAATATACGGGGTAGCCTGCGGAGGAAGCTGTTCCAGTGTTAAGGGACCGTTAGGCATAATATAGCACATAAGGTTGGACAATGTGTGTGAGTGTAATCAGGTGGCACCTATATATAGACCTTCATCAGGAGTATGATTGTTGAGTCTTTGATTCGTAGGGCTCAAGAGCTGCCAGTCGTAACCTCAGTAGTAAACTGCACAAACTCGACCAAGAGTCACTCAAACAGCAAGAAATCATCTACATGCAGGTATGAAAATTCTTCACAATACCATATTTAAGCGCGGCCCCCGATTAAGCGCCGCCCTCAAATAAGCGCCGCGCCCAAAACCAAAATTATTAATAAGCGTCGCCCCCGAATTAACGCCGCGTATGAAATTTTAGTCATTAAGTATTATCAAATATAGTAAATATTTATTACGAGTATCCCCCTAAAAATAAGGCCTGGGTTTCACATGCAGGCTCCGCCTCCTGCCCCAGTGCTTCTTCGTCAAACTTGTCCGTTTAGGGGTGGGGTTAGACCCATCCCCAGAACGCTCTTTATCAATCACCGCAAGATCTCGTAGTAAGAGGTTGGATCACTCCCATGTCTTCAAGTGGTTAATAAGGGTGTCATCCTTGTTCCATTATATAGCTGTATTGTATTTTTCTTTTGCTTCAGGATTTTCAGCTTCAACAACTTGAACGCAAGATTAACAGACTCCAAGGAGAACGAAGCAATGAAGAGAAACTGCAACTGGAGGCTAAAATACGGGTAAATAAGGTTCTTGACCCACATATCTAAGAATATAATATCATGATCGAATTTTCTTTTCTTTTCTGCCTTCGTAGGAATTGAATGAGCAAATGGATGAACACAATGCTACACATACTGTGTTGTCTTCACAGATGAAGAACCTTGGCGTAAGTAATACTTAACTATAAACAAAATAGAATTTAGAATAAATTTWAAATAGAAACTAGAATTAGGTGAGTGCACTCAAGCCTTTCACGATGACTGGATTTTGAAGTTATTCACTCCGCCGTGGAAATGAACTTTGAGCAGTTTTCGTATGGCTCCGTACGGATGGAGAGTAAATTTTCGCGCAATGTGATTAGCCGTGTTCGTACCGTGTTTCGGGCATTTGATTGGATGAAGAGTAAATTCTCTGCAATGTGATTGGTCTGTCGTATCCCTTGCCGTGTCATGATCGTGTTCGTGCCGTGAGCTTTTCACATACGAACCCCCCTCCCCCCAATGTAAAGACGTTACACTCATAATACCGTTTTCCACGGAGGTTTTTTTCCTTGTTAATTCAAAAGACGTATGCTTCATTATTTTATCTTATTCCCAGCAAGAACACTGCAGACACTAGTGGACGGAGAATGTTTGACTCGATATATTATCAAGGGTTATACATACGCCTAATATGCACTTGTTTAGCTTTTTTATTGAAGTTTCCAAGTCTAGCTCCAAGTTTGTATACTCCAAGTCTGTCTGTTTGTATTTTTCAGGATGATTTAAGACGTGCTAAACGTGACCTTGCTAAAGGAAAAGAAGAACTGAGCACTCTTAACACTAAGATAGGTAAGTACAAAATACTCTCCTCTCAGCACCATTTATGCAGCTACTCCTAAAGGACACTTTACATTTCCTGGAAAATCGTCTTGGAAAAGAATCTTCGCTTGACAACGGGAAATTCCATTACTTTTTACTTCCTTGAAAAAAGAATCTTAGAAAATGATTGTTGAAGTTGGAAACCATGATTTCCTGGTATTCGACTCCAGTCCAGGAAATGTTTCAGGCAGCGTAGCGTTCCCTCTGCTCATGCGGTACTGCAGGGATTTTCCAGACAGAAAGATGGAGCATTTTTTTATTGCAATCCTATTGTGATATTCTATTGCCAACCATTTTTTTCCTTTCCATCAACAGGTGAATTAAACCTTCATAACGACAGCGCTGAAAGAGAACGCAAAAAGATTATTGGCTCAAAACAGGTGTGTTTTTGCTTATGTTCTTCCTTCACACACTGGACCACTTCGATCAACATATAAAATCTTGCGTTCCGAAGTTAGCGCATGTTACTAACGAGAGTACACTACATCATAATAGTGCTCCATTTCAAAGTAATTTTAAAACGATGACCATTCCTTATGAACCAAAATTATGGCACTAACCAAACCTAAGTATCTCGATTTATTATTATCACTTTTGTTGTTGTTGTTTATTTCGGATATTCTTTGCAGGAACTTATGGTTGACGAGAATATCTTGAAACTAGAGATCAAGAGACTTCGTACCACACTGAGTAAGAAAGCTGACCACGTATTGAGTCTAGAATCAAGAAAACTACAGCTTGAAACGGTAAGGAATAGTGCATTGAAGTACTACGACATGTAGTATGCAGCCTTACACAAGTGCCAGGAGCGAAGCAAGGTCTCGATTATGGGTGGGGGAGRGGGGACAATTTACCTTTTTCTCGCCACATCCACAAGAACCCCACATGAATGGAGGCACGCCCCCCCCCCCCCCCCCCCCCCCCCCCCCCCCCCCCCCCCCCCCCCCACTCCTCCCTACGCTAGCACCTAGGCCATGGCATAACCTAACCAGCAGAAAAGAGAATGTCATTCGTTAGTGTTGATATTAGAGTATTCCCGCCGAACCGATTGATTGTTTCTTATAACAGTCGATGAAAGAACGCCGGCATGAGATTGCAATTCATAAAGACATGTTGAGAGCACAGATCAAAGCAGCAGAAGAAGAACGACAAACTGTTAGGTAAATACTACCTAATCACCATCCTACTTGTCCGCCCATTTCTCTTTTTCAATTCCACTAGGCCACTCCCATTCTTGTTCCCAGACCATACTCATTAGTGAGTGGGGTCTGGGAACGAGAAAGAACAACTCCCTGAAAAATGGAAAGCATGCAAGCAATCTGGTTTTTTTTTTTTTTTTTTTTTTTTTTTTTTTTTTTTTTTTTTTTTTTTTTNTTTTTTTTTTTTTTTTTTTTTTTTTTTTTTTTTTTTTTCGTTTTTAACTTTTTAAACACTTCTCTTCGCAGTGCTGAACTTCAAGAAAGAATCTCCAAGATTGAAAAACTACGAAAACGGTAATTTCCACATGATTGTCGAATCTGCTGTCATTGAAGAAAATCCTCTTGCTTAAGCATATTTGTATCGCTCGTTTTTCCGGTTCCACAAACTCTACCTCAGTACCAGCTGCATATTTCATCAATATGTTCACATCTGTATATACACAAGATATATAGCAAAAAGAATCGCAAAGTTAGCACTAAGAAAAGGAATGCACAAGGCAATCCGCTGTAGAAAGTGTGTTGTTTGCTTCGAAAGCGCGTTGGAATGCTAAATGGAAACTAGGAAACGGCCTCTTATATTTTAACGTATAGAGAACGTAAATATTCCTATCGAGAGTATTAAAGGGAAACAAAAAGACTCTATCCTTTAAGGTATATGTAAGAAAATAATTTTTTTCGTTTCGTTTCGTTTCGTTTCGTTCCGCAAAGTACAATAATCCCTATGTTTCGTTTCGTTTCGTTCCGCAAAGTACGGTAAGCCATTCTTAAGCGGCGACTCATATAAAGCCTTTTTTGGTAACATGTTCAGTCATGAATATGGTAGATAAACTTATCTGTGTACCTATTGATTAACACAGATACGAGATTCTGATGGTGTCTATGGCGCCACCAGAAGGAGAAGAAGAAAGATCACAGGCATATTATGTCATCAAGGCAGCACAAGAGAAAGAAGAGTTGCAGAGAACGGGAGACGAACTTGATGCTAAGATCAGGAAARCTGAGAAAGAAATCAGGTGAGAAAATACCACTGTTAGAAGAGTAACATTAAGCTTATCAAACATTGAGTGTGGTATTTCCCTGTGTCTGTTGTCTGTGAGGCAGACCCACGAGTTAGCATCGTCCCCGTATCCTTCCTCGATTTTACAAAGTTTTTCTTTTTTTACTTGTCTTTTTTTTCTTGTCTTTTCTTTTCTTCTTCAAAATGTTCATGTCGAATTCGTTATAAAACGACGGCCTTTTTGTTTACCGCTTWTCCGCACRATCCAAATATGGAATTGATCATACCATATATGGAGTGAGCTTTCTCTACTCCAACTTCGACACTAACATATAGAGTAAAGCTTGATGTTGTACACGATTATTGGCTGTTGTCATTTTTAAACCGTCGTTAATTGTGATCTTAGGGGAAATTTTGCACTGGTGATCTCCATTTTTTTTACGGCCATTTGAATAATCGTGTTCAAAAATCCAAAGGTTTATATTCATCATGCAGTCGGGATTTACACCTTTTTAATCGCACATGGCATACAGCTTTAAAAGGTCTGGATTTTTGGCTTTCCACCAATCAAAATATTTACTAAAATAGACAGGTAAAAGGCACAGTTGATGGACGGAAGTCCAAACCCGCTTAACGCCAGAAAGTTTAATTACTGTGCTTTTATCCAGATTAAAATGACAACGAACGTTTACGTTACGATACATTGTGTGTTCTAAAATAGAATAAGGGATAGACCATTAGATAATTGAAGGGGGGGTGCAGGAATTTATGTCGCACGATATTTATTTTTTTGTAACAACTCTTGCACGCAATTTGTGTGTGTGTGTGTGATCGAAATTTCTTTCCTGAAAAAAAGAGGTTGCGCGATATTTTTTTCCTTGGTGAAATGCTTGCTCGATAATTTTTTGGAGGATTTGCGTACCCCCCCTCCCCCTTCCCTCAATTGTGTAATGGTCCGTCTCTAATAACGCTTGCTATCCATAGTGTTAGAGGACAATTATTAGGATTCTTTTTACTGCAGGCCGTGCTAAGAATGTTGGTTGGCAAGCTAAGAATATTTGATTTTCAAATTTCAGAGCTTTGGAAAATACTCTTCGACTTATGAACAATCGAAACGAGACCTACCGAAAGAGCTTCAACGAGGTCAATGAATCGAGCGATGAATTTGAGGAGAAACAACGTCTAGAAGAGCAAATGCGCGCGGTTATGGATAAATATAAATACAAACGACGACAGATTAGAGAATTACAAGAAGACCTCGCCGCCATGCAGACAACTTTCGACAAACTAGAGACTGATGAACAAACGTTTGTTGAAGTCATCGACGAAAAACAAACCCGAACGAACAATCTCCAGAAAGAACTAGACGACCAGAAGAACAAGAAGGATCGAGCTGCAAGACAGATATCCAAGATGGCGCGTGACGTGCGCAGTGCTAAGAAGTCACGCGGTGAACTACACGACGAGAAGGACATGGACCTACGGGAGTTGAGGGATTTTAACTCTCGTGTCATGAAGCAAATGGGTGAAGTATTACACAATAATGCCGAGTTAACGCCTAGTGTACAGATGTACTTCAGTCAGGCTGGATTACCTATGCCTCCCTCGCCTGTTCCTGGAACCTCACGTGCTGATTCTTCAAGGAGCTCAAGATCCTCTGGGTCCCTATCGTCAGCAAGGTAGATAACACGTCTGTAATTTATGTTCTTGTATGTTTGGAGTCAAGAGTAGTTTGGAGTCAGGGGTAGTAAAATTACCTTCTTGGTTTCCTCCCCTTTCTCGTATCCTTTCTCTCTCCCTACCTCCCTATAGCCTCCCCTTTCTCCCTTCCTTTTTTGACGCACCTAACATAAAGTGCAACCCCATTTTGCATATATAATAAGTCGGACATGAGGCGGTAAGCCGTGTGGGATAGGGTCGGAAATCATATAGGAACATGCGTAATAGGTAAATTACGAACCGTGCTGACGAGGCCCAATACAGGCCGAAACAGCTGTCCACGGTTTCTAGTTTAGCTGGCTCATTTTTTACGCGACTTGAAGTTGTGAAAGTCCCATTGGCCCTCTTCTTCAGTCGTTTCATACAGGGCTCGTAATTTACCTATTACGCATGTTCTTATATAATATGTCTATTAACAAGCTAATTTTATTACTTCTCGATTTTTCAGGTCTGATGTTTCTGTTGGTAGTCGTCGTGGTGTTGGCACAGTAAATATTACCGGTTTATCAATCACTGGCTCTGCTAGTCCTAAACCAGGTTAGAATATGCTCTTTCTGCCGTGACCGTTTGACCTTTTTTAAAGAATTTTCTGATTCCTTATTCAGGAGCCAATCATAAATTAACATTATCGAATAAAATATTCAGTTTCTCATGACCTGTCCTTTTTTCCGTGTAGGGGTTTCTCCGACCAGTAGCGCCCGCGACAGAACCTCGCGTAGACCAGAATCCATAGGATCCCGCGGGTCGTCTCGAACAGGGAGCGCTGCCAGTCGACGAAGCACTGATCGTTAAATGAGAATTGAACCACCCTATAGTGTAGTGCGAGACTTATTTATTGTGGTCTTTGTTTAGTTTTGACTTATGTACATACTCGATTGTAATTAGTATTATCGGTTTTCACAGGTTTTTTTTTTTCTTTTTTGAATGAACAAGATGTTGTTGTAAACTGCGCTCAAGCCGCAAATCACTAAATGAAATATTTATTACGTATCGCGCGCTACTCAATCAAGTCAGCGTTCACCATCAATTTTTGGATGCGCGCTAAATAACCAATGAGGAGCGCGCGTTATGTCGTTGCTATGTTTATAATAAACCTGTAACATAACAGTGTACATCTACGTTGCTTGCCTGTCTGCTTGCTATGGATTTTCTATGCCTAAACCCTTTTGGTATAGACAGTATGTATAACGCTAGAGTTTTTAACCCGAAAGATCTTCAAGTTTACTTATAATCAAAAAGTAATGTACCATTCAGTTTGAGCCCTTATTTCGACGTTCTACATTTATTGCAATCTATCTCATAAATCGTTTTTAAACTTGCCCTACACCGTTTCGGTATTCCCTTGAGTGACCACCGAACAATAGCTCCAATCGAGGCTGGACTCTGTGTTCATACATTTACTGTATTTTATCAAGTCCCAACCTCGACTTGAAACCATTGTCACTCAAGCGAATTCCAAAAAGTTGTCTTAGTTGTATTGTCCTTAATACTTTTACAGGGAATGTTATACCCATTTCAAAACACTTGGATAATGAAGCTGGAATGCACGCACTAAACCCGTGCACAATAATTAGTACTAATTAGTACAGAATCATTTGGGTTTTTTTATTGTTTAGTTATCACTATTTAGTGCTAAAAATTAGTATTAGGCCTCGTCCACGCGTATCCGCAATTTTTTTTTACGGATACGGGTTGCGTCCACACGTGTCCGCAAATTTTTGTGTCCGTATCCGCAAATTTAACGAAAAAAGAATACGTGTGGACGGTGAAAACGATTCGAATACGCTGCGTGTGGACGCAAACATTTTCGTATCCGCAAAAAATAATTTGCGGATACAAAAATTTCCGGGTACGTGTGGACGGGGCCTTAGTTTCACGGGTTTAGTGCGAGCACTCTACTTATTTCAAAATACTTGGAAGCATTAGCGCTATTGGCCACCTTAACTCGTTTCTAAAGTGGCCAATTGCATATGCCACAATAACAACAAACTACAAATAAGCTTTAAGGCCCCGTCCACACGTATCCGGAAATTTTTGTATCCGCAAATTATTTTTTGCGGATACGAAAATGTTTGCGTCCACACGCATCGTAATCGAATCGTTTTCACCGTCCACACGTATCCGTTTTCGTAAAATTTGCGGATACCGACACAAAGATTTGCGGACACGTGTGGACGCAACCCATATCCGCAAAAAAAAAAAATTGAGGATACAAAAATTTCTGCATACGTGTGGACGGGGCCTAAAGCACGCATCCGATCAGTGTAGTGGGTCAGACGTCGTCATGTTACTACACTTCCACTCCTTACCATAAATACATTTTAAAATGTACTTTAATTAAGTGATATCAACTGTACTACACAAGAGTTACATACAGTTGTACGACGTGTCGTCCCATTACTTGACCAGGCGGCAGCCATATAGTTCTAATTTGTAAGCAGAATTTGACTCTTGGGGGAGAATTCTTATGACCGTTGATGTGATTGGTGGATCAAACTTTTTGAGGATCGTAGCTCCAGCGTATGGAGTGTGTTCAAAGACCTTGAAAAGAAATAATGAATCAAAGATTAGGTAAGAAAACGCATTAGGGATGAAACATTTAAAAATTTGGCAATTTGGGGGGTGGGGGGTTTGCACGAATTTATGCTGCACGATTTTTTTTTTTTTTTTTTTTTTTTTTTNTTTTTTTTGTAACACCCCTGCACGCAAATTTGTTTATTTTTTTCGTAGGTGAAGTGCTTGCTCGATATATTTTGGGGGATTTATACAACCCCCTCCTCAATTATCTAATGGTCCGCCCATTTAGCTTAGTTACTTAACTCGTAGATCGTGTTTTATCGGGCCGATAAGATMAGATCTACGAGTTGATTCATCTGCTTCAAAAACTTAAGAAAAATGCACAAATCTTTTATACTTCGATTACATAGACGTTTGTACACAACATCGATGTCATGTGCAGTGAGGTTTGTACGTCACTGTCATGCGCAGTAGCGCATGTATGGTCACTCCAGGCCAATTGCTTCAAAGGCTCATTAATTTTTCATGTGTTTTTGAGACACACTATAGTTTATTGTTGAATAATGCTTTCCCATTTGACCACTTACCGTTTCTTTGAATGACCCAAGATCCTCATTCCCAACTGTTTGCCAATTGTTATTACTGTCCTTGTACTTGACTTTAAAAGTTAATGCAGAAACACCGCTGTCATCCCCTCTAAAAGCTATCTTAGTGATAAAGTAGCGATGAGGAGCCAGATCAATTTGAAGGTATCTGTTTGTGTCATTGTCCTGTGGCATCCAGGATTTGGGTTTGTTAAACCTCGCCATGTGGGGTAAGTTAGTGCTTTTGGATGAAGATGCTGTGAAGCTGACGTCTGATATTCGTCCATCCTGCAAGCCGAGGGAGTTGTTTCCACACACTACGACAACATAGACTTGAATTAGTGAAGCGAGAATTGTGGGGGGGGGGGGGGGGGGGGGGGGGAAATTGGTCTAGTTTAAAGTGTGGATTTAGATTGAGTTTGGTTCGGCCTCCTTTGGCGTGCGCTGCTAGTGTGCCGCCTAACACTAATGTGACCTGGGTTCGAGTCCTGCCACTCTTGTTGTCGTATGTGAGTAGAGTTGTTTATTAGATCTCTCCTGTGCTTCGAGGGTTTTCCGGGTTCTCCGGTTTTCCTTCCTCTAAAAATCAGCTTCTAAGTTCCAATGCGATCTTTGGGCTTTCACCTAGTTGGAGCCTAGCTCTGTTGTGATTATCCCACGCTGTGATACAACAGCTATATGATCACTCAGGGATATAGAACATAGGAATAGCATTTTACCTTCACACCGCCGACCTATATATCCGTTTCTACAGCGACACCAAATCTTTAGACTTTCCTTGTCAAATTCACATATCCCACCATTTTGACAAGAAGTAAAGGAACAAAGATTGTGTACAGGGACGCGCTCTAAATACACATAAAAGTTGACCGGCCAATGCTTTAAGTTCCCTGGAGCCATTAAAGTATTCCTTTCGTTGAGTTCACACCATTTAGAGACGAAATCATAGTTCACACTGACGCAATATGTATCACTCTTGCACAAGGACACACAGCTGGATAATGTTATTCCGGATGTATTCCTGTACGCGTAGCCGAGTAGGCGGTGACTGGTAACTGTACTGACTCCGGCGATTAAGCAACATTTGGCAACATCAGTCGTAAAAGACAGTGTGATAACTACCAAGAGGTTATGGATTTCCATTGAACTGGGCGATGTGTTGATTCTGCGAGAAAGAAAATGAAATAATTATTTTTGTTTCCTTTCCTTTCCTTTCCTTTCCTTTCCTTTCCTTTCCTTTCCTTTCCTTTCTAGAGTTTCCTTTCCCGAGTTTCCTTTCCCGAGTTTCCTTTCCTCGCACATTAGCTTGTACTTCTCTTCACATCTCTTGAGTGCTCTCGTCATTTCTTACGTGCGACTAATAGAATAAGTACTAAAAGCACTCAAGCCGTATGAGTAGCATTCACTTCTAGCTCGTACTACTCTTCACTTCTATTGAGTGCTTTTGTCACTACCTGCGAACTTATTGCTGAATGAAGCACGAAAAAATCTGTCTTATTATCATGATTTTTTAAATCCTGCAGATTTTGCATGTGACTAGAGAGTTTTTAAAGTAGTGTTGTTCTTTTCCCTGCCAAAGGAAAAAGCGCCATGTAAATTCCCGATTGGGCTATTTTTAGTAACAGGATGCAGTATAAATTTCGCCTTACTCTACTCCCATGCGTCATCAACTTGAGTGCTTGCGCTCTTTCCGTTTAAAACTTAAAAATTAATTTGTAGACTATACAGAATTTCCCTGCCAGCAGAGTCTCCTTCGTTGGCGATTCTTCTGCTAGGAATCGCCAAATGAGGGAGATACTCCTAGCAGGGGAATAAATAAAGCTCTTTGAGTGAAACGTTTTAAAAAACTGAAGGGGAATTAGATATGTATAACTTTTTACTAACTGATAAGTAATTTAGTGCTTACATGAGTTTGAAACAGTGCCATTGATGTTCTATTCTTGTACATCCGACACTAAGAAATTTTGCAGAAGAAACTGAATATATTTTAGATCTATGAAGTGCAACTGGGGTTGGTACTCAATTTAATCTTGATTTATTTACGAAATATAGATTATTTCCAAATATTAAGATGGATTATTTATCATTAGTTTAACAAAAGATAGCGAACTTTACGTTTTCACAATTAAACCCCAGAGCATTTTTTTCTTTAACGGAGGAATACTGAATGTATATAAATTGGTTCGCCTAGAAACCCGAATATAGCTCATTCTCACGTGAAGTGTAAAAAAGTATTATAGATAAATCTTAACATACTTACAAACAGAGACTTGAGAGCTAGAAGGACGGCTCAGACCATGAGGATTTCCTGAGAAACTCCAGTCGCGAATGTTGTTAGCGTTTATTATCTGAATTCAGTGAAATTCTGATCATGATGTGTTTTTAAGACAAATTTGAATTCCTATATTATTGGTAACGTAGCAACATTCGTAGCGACCGTCCACGAATACTAGATTTGTGGCCGATATTCGCATTAGTAGTCCTAGAGGGAGTTAATTGTAATCACTCACTGTCAAAGACGCGGAGAGTAAACAGCAAATTAACTAACTGACTACAGTTTTTTATGTGTCTGTCCTCTTATTGACGATAAATTGCAAAAGTAGTGTGGATCCACGAGGCGTAGCTTAGCCCTACTATAATCGATTGAAGACTTGTTTTTAATGAAGTTCAGAGTCTCAAAATAGTCTTTAATGAAACTTAATGAAAACGAATAACCAAAAAGAGAAAGTAGTTTAAAAATAGACTTTCAAGTACCATTGATAAATGAGCAATTGACTTCGAGTTTTGACGTCATAAAAATCCATGAAACATGCTTGAAACATTTTGCTATTCAATAATAAGAATTTAATTATTATGTTTATCAGGATTCATTATTACTATGTTGTAAATATTGAAGACATCTTAAAGATAGAGYAACTAGACTAAAATCACGATACGACGAAAACTTAAATAAAGTTTCATTTTTATACTCTGTAGAAGATTCCACATGATAAGCGACCGCCATTGGAATCCATAAATGAGTGAAAACAAAACAAAACAAACAAACAAAGAAACAAAGAAAAAAACAGACTTTACGCTGATTTGTGTTTCGTCCATGTTTTCTTTTCAATGAATTAATCTAAGTGAGTTTTTGTCTACAGAAATTAAACGAATACTTGCAGTCAAGAAAAAAAGTAGTGCAGTTTTCGTATGACTGTGAAATATTCACTGTACGAATTAACACGGCAAGGCATACGCCAGACCAATCACATTGCACGATAATTTACTCTCCATCCAATCAAATACCCGGAACACGGCATAAGCACGGCGCGGACATGGTCATGCCAAGGTCACGGCACTTTTAGACCAATCATATTGCGCGTGAAAAAAAAATCAGCCAATTAAAATTCTAGAAAGTATCACGGTCACGGCACCTCGAGCTTAAGGGATTGAGCTTTTCACAGAAAACTGCTCTATCGCACGTGATTTAGCAGCTTAACATTTTGTACACCAATAAGTAGAGGACTAAGAGGTTGTTTTACATAATAGCTGTTATTACAATTGAGCTCGCAATTCAATGTTATTTCGTTTGAGAATCATCCAAGTGAGGCTATCGGGTCGATAATATGCTTGTTGTCTCATTTGCATCTGATTTGAATGCATCCATAATATCTGCTATTTGATTAATCATTTAGCTAAACGAATCAATCACGAATCAATGATTCGATTGCCTAATTAGTTCTCTGACGTATTCTCACATCAGCCAATCACGCGCCTAATTGAAAAAACGTCATCAATCATAATTGCTTACGTAATTGATAATTTCGATTTGGTTAGCAAAATTTCGCTCGCTAGAATTCAGATGGCAAACGAGTTCGCAAACTAAAGACTATCGTTCTCAAAGATAAAAAAGTTTACGAAATTTTGATTTATGTGGTCAGAAAAGATGTGGCTTTCTTCTCGCATTTTGTCTATTTTAGCTGTAAAGCTTCTGCAGATCCTACTTGTTTGGATCTACTGTTCGATGTTTTTCCTGGGACAAGGGATCGGATCAGTATTGATGATTACTTTACTAACATCTCCATTGTACCTCTTTGCCTTGGCATATCTGGTAATAAGCTTCTGCTTCGATATCGAAACACCTCAACAAGGAGGAAGACGCTTCCAGTGGTTTCGCTACTCACAACTCTGGCATCTCATCAGAGATTACTTTCCGATAAAGTTGATCAGGACGAAGAGACTGGACGCCAAGAGGAATTACGTGTTTGGGTACCACCCCCATGGGATAATGTGCGTTGGGGCGTGGTTGAACTTTGCAACCGAAGCTACTGGATTCAGTGCTTTGTTCCCTGGTATTACACCATACCTTATGACACTAAAGAGTAAGTACAATTTGAGCCTTTCTTTGTACACGACTTCTTTACCTTATGCAAAATGTTTTTCAACATAAGGTAGCTTTTCAGTGACGAAACTCTTTTTGAGTTTCATCCATATATTTATGTATCTCTTCAATAAATAAGGAAGTAATACTCAAGGGAATGA